TATCACATGGATGTGTGTAGTTGTAGTCGGATGGTTGAGGTGATATACTAGTATCACATGGATATGTGTAGTTGTAGTCGGATGGTTGAGCCGATATACTAGTATCACATGGATATGTGTAGTTGTAGTCGGATGGTTGAGGTGATATACTAGTATCACATGGATGTGTGTAGTTGTAGTCGGATGGTTGAGGCGATATACTTGTATCACATGGATATGTGTAGTTGTAGCCGGATAGCTTGATGAGTCTGTCACAGGGTTCACAAACTTAAGGTTCACGTGGAACTGCCCCTTAACATAGAGGTTAGTATTAAAGCCAATCGGCGAATTTTGCAGGGGCTTTTGGCCAGCATTCCATATTCTCGAAACTGTGACGAAATGAAACATTAAGCTCAGTAGTTAGTTTACGCATCTTCTAACTGTGGATTCCAACACAGTTTTGATTCACATTCCATTCGGCAGTCAACTGCAAATCAGTGTTTTTGTTATGCAATTGTTGTTGTCTTTTCTGATTTAGTAGTGAGTGCACATGTATATTTCATTAAATGAGTAAAACAAAGATGTGGACTTCATCATCTCAACTAAGTATAATAATTTGTCAAAAATAGTAATATAAAATAATATTACTTTGACATTATCCAATTTCATTTAATATACTCAATAGACAACATAAAGACAGACAATATGCAGGGCTACATCCTTAAATAACGATTCACTGTGAATGAAAGGGGTTCACTATTAAGTTGAAGCTACTTGCGTTGGAGATTACATTCTGCGCTATGGAGTTCTCTTTTCGAACTATCTAAGCCCTCTTTTTAATGTAACGTAGAACTATGACTCATTATGACAACATATCTTCATTAAAATGTCGAAATTTTAATATCTATTTCAGTACAATTTACTCAAAATGGAGTTCTAAGACCTTTCCTAATTTTAAATAAGAAGTGGGGTTTGGAACAGCTATTAAAATACATATTTCACATTGATTTTGCAAATAAAACATTCGCTTGAATAGTATCATCACACTGCTGTCATTTGAAACAAAATTTGAACTCAGAGATCATTTATAAAGCGTTATTCGTGTGCTGGAAAATGCCATTCGCTGTAACAGTGGCGGATCCAGAGGGGGCAGGGGGCCATGGCCCCTCCCAAACGCATGACGATTCATATCATCTGGATACGCACCGTATATCTTAAGCGAAGCTTGGACCCCCCCAATACATTTTGCTG